TCTTTTTTTCCCTCGACTTATTCCCTTTCAAAAAGTACGAGAAAAACCTTTAAAATAATTATTTAATTAAAGATTAAGCAAACAGTTATATTTTTTTCCCTTAAAATAGTCAAGTTAAACATATTTTTCACAAGAAATTTTACGGTTTTTTTTTTCTTTCTTTATTTGTCATCCAACCATCCTCGTGGGTAAATGAATTGATTATTTTATAATCAAAATTGAAATAAATTTTTAATGAAATTCTATTAAAAAAATAATTTCGAAAGAAAATAACTTGTAAATACTCAATGGTTATAAGAATTTTGATTAAATATTTATTTATTTACAATTTTTATGAGTTAGAAATGTTAACTGAAGAGTGAAAAAAGTGAATACAAATATATAAAATTGAAAAATATATTTTTAAAAATATATACAATGATTCATTAAATATACAGGTCACATCTTAAGCATGTAAACTTATTACTACACATAAGTAATGTAACATAATTGTGTTTTCTGTTCTTTAAAGGTAATATATTAAGAATTTTTATAAGCTTAAATCCATTCAATATAACCCCTTTCTTCTACAGGAAACTAATTTATAAGTTTAAATTATTTTATTTATTTAACAACAATGAGTACAAGGATAAAAATTAGTAACAATATCTATAATTTAAAATTAATTTTTATGTAAAATTAAAATTTTCATGTTTACAGCTTACATAATACTAAAAATAATCAATTTTTTTACACTAAATAATTATACAAATTAATTTTAAATGTCATTTTTGAATCTCTCATAAATAAAAATAAAATTGCCAAATTACATAACGATAAATCTCATTTAGATTCTATAGATATTTATCATCATTTATTTTTTTAACTTTTTGACATTATTCTATAGAATTTCTATAAATATGAAATGTTTAGAATTGTATTTGCTATTTATTATCTTCACTCACATCATGTGGAATTTTAGATTGTTGCGTGTATTTTGAAACCTTGATTTCGAGTAGTGTAAGAGGATCGGTGCTGTTAATCAAAATTGAAAAGTGTAAAACGATACACATTCCTTTTAAAAAAAAATAAAAAATAAAAAAAAACTAACCGATTGTTCATCCAGCAGTTCATAGGAAAGCATTCACTGCTTCACCAATCTCGTGTAGTTTATGTTACATATAAGAACGGAAATCTCTAGAACGAAACACATAAAAGTCATTACCAGAGAAAAGATTAAAGAGAGGAGATTTCTAGTCGTTAGTTCCCAGAAGCAGATCTACCCCCTGAAGACTCCATTATTTTCGTTAATTACAGGACTCCATAGAGCTGAATGTCAACAAGAACAGCTCGGTTACTTCAGCAACTATATTCGCATTACCGATTTCATTAATGTGTAATTTCCGTATTGAATATCCCTTAAGATAAATTAGAAATAGTAAAAAGGGAAGAAGAAGAAGAACAAGAAGAAGGAAGAAAAAAAAATTATTCATGTAAATTATGAAGCATTATCTAAGCGAAAATGAAAGTATTTTTAAAAATGTATTTACAGAAATAGAAGCAAAATGTCTTGAAAACTAATTCTTTTTTTATTTCTCTTTTAAGAATTCACATATGAATGATTCAAGAGAAGAATTCTCTTTAGAATTTTTCCATAGAATAAAAGTTTCGCTCTTTAAAAAATGTTTTATTAACATAGAAACGGTAACTTTTAAAAACAAATTTGAAAAATTAAAATCTCTTTATATATATATATATTCAACAGAAGAATGAACAACATATTAATACATCAATCCTTTCAACAAGTAATTTTAAAAGGAATATATTCAATTAAAAAAAAAAGAAGCAAGAATATAATAAATGTACAGTGAAAGGAAAAAAAACTAATTTAATTATGTTTAAGAGCCGTTTATAAAATACTCGAATTAAATTTTAATCAAAATATATGACATTATAATTCTTTCGTGAAATGCCACACTTCGAATGATCCTTCTGTAAAAGAATAACTAGGTATTGAAAAATTGGCATAGGATCACTAAGAGAAAGCATATTAATTTTATTAGGATTTAAGGAAGATTATTTTCGACAGAGAAAAAGAATGTAAAAAGCTCATTAAAAATGATTTATTAATTAATTCCAACTACAGAAATTATTTAAATCTCTTCTTTGCTAACAGAAAAAAAAAATTGGTAGATAGATTTAAGTTTCAATTACTGTACATGACATGGTAACTTAATAGAAAGATATATATAACGGGCAAGTATAAAAATCAATATTCTACTTCCTTTTTCCAATCGTTTCCTATCAGTGACGCATGTCCATTTGCTTAATATTTTTTTCCTCTTTTTTTTTCTTTATATATTTTTTTCTCTTCTTCTTCCTCCTCTTCTTCTTCTTCTTCTTCTTCTCCACTTCAAGTAATCGTTGGCGCAAGCGCACCATATAACGTCCTTTGATTGAAGAGGAGAAAAAAGAACGTTTTGCTGCACCTTATACTTTGACACAGAAGTATTTCGTTGGATAGAAAAAAGTACAATGCTAGAACAGACATAAAAAGGAATTTCTTCGATTCGATGTAAGAAATTTCGACGTTTCATGGTACTTATAGAAAGTTTGCTGCATTGAACGGTTTTCTTGTGACATATTATTTATTAGTTCATTAAATATATGTCATTTCTTTAACCTAAATCGTGAAAAAATTCTTATATATGTTATTTTATCTCGAAATTATTAAAAAAATAAATAAAAAATCGTTTAATCCATTTGTTTTATAAAGTTATTACGTAAAATTTTTTTTCTATTTTTTGAGTCTAGAATATATAGTTTATAATTGCAAAATTTAATAAAATATCATTAAAAATTATTATTTAATTAAAATTCATTATAAATTTTCTAAAAATAACATATTTTTCATGCATAAAAAAAAACAAAAAAATCATTTTATATAATGATATCCTTATCTTTATTGTGAAATAAAAAAATAATTTTAATTAATTAATTTTTTATAAACATTAAAAAAATTAGAAGAAAAAAACATAAATTTTTAATCGCTAAATATTTTAAATTTTATATTATGTGTGTTACTTATATAGCATCG